CGAGGCAACAAGCGAAGAGAGAGGTGACAATAATACTTTCGACGGACATTCTCGCGGCACTCACGAGGTTGATGACGAGGACGGGAGGAGCAGCGATGGCACAGCGCAGGACGAAGGCGGTGACGGGGCAGACGAAGACTAGAGGGAACCCGAACGTGGTGGCGAGGGGGGCACAGCCGACGCGCCCCTGATCGACAGACAAGTAGTGAGGCACGATGCGAGGATGTCGCTGTGATGAACGAACAGTTAAAACGGGCTGTCGAATTTTGCAGATGCGAAATGCTGAGTTCTTAATATTATTCTGTGCGTTGTAATGTGTGTTTTCCAGCAGATAGCACGAACCCGCAAAGAAAAGTGTGCGCGAGCAGGGGAGGACAACAACAAGCCAATCAAGAAAGCGGCGTATTCTCGAAGGAAATGAAGGACAAAATGTTCCGGTCGATCGCAAAAGCCTTTGCGTTCTCAGCAGCAAAGGACGCAACTCTGTACCCGACAGAGAAAAATTTTTTCACGGCGCTGCAAACAACGGTCAAACTGATAGGGGAGAACGCGGAGGAAGGACTGCGATCACACGTAGTGGAGTGCGGGATTCGAGCAGTCATAGGGGAGTGCAACAGAATGATGACAACTGTGCGTGGAGAGACAACATGGCAACTGAAACATTGGTTCTGGGCTGAAAAAGGGATCCCGCTTGTACGGTCGTAATAAACAAATTTTCAGCTCCCTACTCGCAACAAGATGCGAGCAGAGATGAAGGAGAACAAAACGTGGAGACGGAGCGGCGACGATCCTTTGGGTGCTCCAGCGTTCAAGACGACACTCACCAAGGTTTTCCAGATGAGGAGGGATGGCGTGAACCTTGGCATGACCCTGCAGCAACTGGCTTTTGCGGAGATGGTTCTGCAATGTGAAATGGAGCAGACAGCAAAGACCAGCAGAGAGGCAGAGCAGATAGAAAAATTGGTCTCTATAAAGCAGGACATCGCATTATCTCTCCGCAACCTCGATACAGTCATGAGTTTTTCAATCTTCAAGCTGGACAGGGCCTTATCTGTTGCTGAGAAGGCTGCTGCGCTATTTCGAGATGACGTGCCCTCTGTCCACAGGAGTGGGCCACAAAACACAACAATAACAGAAGGACAATTTCAACCTAGATTTCATTGTACCTCTGCGTGAGAGAAGCAGAGACAGGGAGAGGGATACAGAAAGTCTGTGCGGCAGACTTTAAACAGCGAGGGGCGGGGTGTCGGGGGGGGGAGGTGGTGAACACAATAGTGTGCATCAGAGGTTGATTATGGAATCTTTGAATCACAAGGTTCATTACCCAAGGTCACAGTCATTGCATGAGAGAGAGAGAGAGAGAGAGAGAGAGAGAGAGAGAGAGAGAGAGAGAGAGAGAGAGAGAGAGAGAGACGGGGAGATGAAGACAGTGAACCGTGTGCTTGGAACAGTCACTTAACAACACATGGTCTTTATTTATGACACACAATTGTACAATCCCTTCTAATATGGTCATCTTTGTGCGATTGGTCATAGAGCGACTATGTTATGCAAAAAACAGCAACCGTGGTTGTCCTCAATGCAATGTTGGGTGGTGCGTGCCACTATCTCTCTCATGCTCACATGTTGCTAAAATTTTGTCACGCAGTGGTGAACCGTATTTGTTGCAAGGCAGCTCACGATTTAACTGAGTCACATATAGAATGAAGCACAGCAATCCTACGGACCCGAAAAGGACGGTTGGCTACTTCGTGCCACTCTCTCTCAAACACAACCATGTTGGTAAAATTTTGGCCCGCAGTAGTGAACCGAGCTTGTAGCCTGGCAACTCAGCATGTAATCGAGGCTCCCTCACGTGTTCATCAGCAGAATGAAATACCGCCATCCGACACCAACAGAAAACAACGGTTGGCTACTGCGTGACACTTTCTCTCTCGCATTGCCATGTCACACAGTAGTGAACCCTGCTTGCATCTCTCTCTCTCTCTCTCTCTCTCTCTCTCTCTCTCAACGGTGTTTTCGTTAAAAATGAAATGTTTTGTAAAAAGTGAACATAATGAAATTAACAAATTTGTCAGAACAAAAGTAAATTTAACAACAAGAGCAGAGGATTTTAGCATCTTATTGACAAACATTGTATAATCAAGTATTGGAAAGAAAATTGCATATCCGCATCAATACAAATTTCATTAGTCCACTATCCATGATTCTATTTTTAAAGAAAGTCGCATATCTGCACCAATACAAGTTTCATTAAAAAGTCGCATATCTGCACCAATACAAGTTTCATGAGTTAACTATTGTTACAGTATATTATCCCAACCTTTCATAACATGAATACATCCATTCTATCGTAAAATCCAAGAAGTCATATTCAATTTATTATATTAATTATAATACCAAGCTTACACAACATGGACACATATTGCAAAATGTGAGACTCAGTGAGTGTCCGATCAAGTAAAACTTGACAATATTTCAATCAATTCGGAATCTGATGTTTCTTGAACTTAAAGGCTTACATGAAAGAATATTTTGAAAAACCTTGCATGTGACCGTATAATAAAATTTAAAGATCTGTTAATATTTGACAGCAAAGTGCAGCGGACACTCCAAAAACACGTATAAAAATCCTGCTTAACTACAACAACACAATTAAATGAAAACACGTGCAAAAGTTCAACATAAAAAACAATTCGAAAGCAGTGTCACCCATAAACTGCCAAACACACAAACCTTAGTTTGAATCCCGCTGAACTCGGATAACCAAATAACTCTATATTAATGCAGGACTGGGCTATTCGAACTTAGATGATGTCTCAAGGCCATTGACCGAGTAAGAAAAAAAAAATTTAAATGCAAAGCACAAATGACACTCCGAAAGTAGGCAAAATAAGCCTAGTAATTAGATCGACTTAGGGGATAAACTAATGCGATCAAGGCAACATTTCAGTCTGTCCTTGTATAAGTTGTCTAATCTTCTACAACGATGGTATCAGTTTGTCCGTCAATCGCCGGATCCTTGTACTCTATATAACTTTCTATTACTTCATATTCGCGCAGCAGGAGACTTCGCAAATATTTGATGGCCGTGTCCACAAGCCCATCCATGAGTGTTTTGAGTGATGGTTGCTCCATGATCCTCCTTCGGAATTCTTGCCGTCGTCGTTCATCGATGTTGTCTGCATTGGAAACACTTGCACTTGCAGAATAGTCATTATAAATAAGGAAAGATACTTTGCACCAACCTCAAACAGTTGCCGCTGCACAAAACAAGGTCATCACGTTGAAATTGTTGTGGCAGAATTTGATTGCTGAATAATACAATTCCGAAAAGGGTGCGAGCACTTCTCGCGGGTATGTTCTCGTTCCACAACACCTCCGACCACAAATATATAGTGACACTCGAGGAGAATGTCCCCAGTCTTCCGGTGGGGTACTTGGTGACCATCCAGTCGTCACAAATGGTTGAACCATTCTGCAACACATGAAAATACAGTTTAAATATATATAAATGAAAGCTCAATGACAACTAAATAACGTACTAATACGTGTAAAGAAAACGATTAGCTCTTCTTCAAAACCTATTGAAAACCTACCGATCTTCATTATCGGGAAATTAAAGGCATACCAAGACCTTCTCTCTGACCGATTTTGGAATGTGCACTCCATTTTCTAAATGCAATGTCTTTGATAACCAGCTCCACACAACACAGTCTACATGCTGCCACTGCAGTAATGTTGTGTTATCTTTCTTCCACGTCTTCTTCCATGCGTTCGAATATTGCACAAAAAGACGTTTAACAATAGGTTGTGGCACCCAATATTCAATAAGAATATGATTGAAAGTTGACGACTTCATATCGTTGTCTACATCGGAAATGACTCTACCCATTCATACAGGAACTTCCTCATCGATATCATCTTGGGAAGGACGCAAGAGAACGAATTGGCCTTTTTCGACATCCACAACTGGGTTGAGCTCCGCCTTTGGACGCTCATTGGCCGGTCCAATGAACAACGACTCCTTATTCTCATTGCTGTTCAAGAGGAAGGCAATATCAATATCATCTGGATCATCCTTCTTAATTTTGTCTTGTGAGGGCCAGAAATCAGCCTTGAGTGAAGTTTTCGCAAACCCAGACCCGTAATGCTCCTCGACTGTCTCGAGGAAAGTTTTCCACTGTGAAAGAGCACTCTCCTTTGAGAAGTTAACCTCATCTTTCATTCCCAACCACTCGTGCCGCTTGTTCTCCAACCACCCAACAAACGTCTTCACACCTTCAATTCCCGGTTCGAAATCCGAATTCCTATCTTTAGTAGGCAGAGAAGCTGACGGCGGAACAGGTGATGGCACGAATGGTCATTCAGGTCCAGCATATGCTTTGTTTTCATCTCGTTTAAAGCAATATATTGGAGCAGACCATTCAGGAGAAGTGCAATACTCTTTCCACTGGAACACAGGATTGTCATCCTGCATATAAAACCTAAATGCATGTGGACGAGTATGACCGGTCAGTCTCTTGACCAGGAAGGGCTTAACAGCAGCTCGCCAATCAGCAATTTCATCCATGAATGTGCACGATGGACGTGTTTTTTGAGAACTGGCAATGGGCTTGAAGAGGTCGAGCATGGTATATGCATCGTGCATTTTCAGTTTGCGAGAGAAATGACTGAAAGTGGCATCAACGTCCGTATGTGTGTGTCCCACTAACATAAAACCGAATTCGACGACTTTGAAGAAACCAAATTTCACCAAAGCTGCAGCGAGTGCCAAAACGTATCTGTTTTTGTTTTCTCTCCAACAGTTGTCAGCTTGTATCCTCATCTTAGGAGGCAAGTCGCTCGTCGCCTGGATGTCGCGGAGAACTTTCATAATGGATGACACTACAGCATTAGAATCATGTGGATAGCAAGGGTACCATGTGTGAACATGGACCGATGGTGAGCGGCCGTGTGCAATAATAGCTGTTATATTCGTTTTCAACATCGGAATATTTGCGAATGCCTTCGATTTGTTCTCTCCGCCAAAGTGTGGAATGCTGGTCTTGCTTTGGTCCATGCCGTCAATGATGATGCACAAACTGTTGGAACCCGGTCTCTTCGACTCATCCTTCTACACCTCATACGCAGCACGATGTTGGAGCTGCAAGTTCAAGTGTTTCTCGCGTAACGAAACAAAGTACTCACGCACACGCACGAACTTTGCGGAATTGATAGATTCTTTGTATTCAACACATTTCTCGCATTTCGCAAAGTTTTGATCAATGTCATGGAATTTCACATGCCAGAACTGCGTTCTCCACATGTTGTAAAAAACTTGGAGAGAAACACAAGGAGCACTTATGTTGTCGAATTTCGACTTTAGCAACTTATAAATATCAACCTTGTTATAGCAAGCAGGCAATCTCAACACCACTCTTGATTCCCCCTCTTTCGTCTTCATGTCATTGGGCATGGAATCTCCGTTGTCTCGCACGAAGGAGCTTAGTTTCTCGTACATCGTCGCATATGCTGCTGATGTGCGTCTGAGTCCAGTACTGCTATGCTCCGGCATATTGTAGCCTTTTGACAAAGTCATCCTTTTTTTGAGAAATGTATTCCTACATACACCCAGTGTGAAACATCAAGCAGTAATGCACACCTTTCGTCTTCCCACAATAGGTTGAACAATCTCCTTTTTATCTTTTATGAAGGTGAACCTCTTTAATGTTTCAACCCACCACGCATCCCTACTCTGCTGGTTCTTAGAGTAGTATGCGCTCTGGACAACTTTGATGTCGTCCAGAGTCATTTGAGCGCAACACTCTCGCTTACAGCAAACCTGCCCACGCACACTCGCCAATGTTTTTTGGGTGAGTTTTCTATGAACAGATTGCACAATCTTCTTTGACGGCGGCATTCTGAGACGAAAAGTATAAGGACGCTTCTCTGAGGACAAACGTTTTGAAAAAATGTAATCGAAATCAGAGATCACGTCACAATTCTCATCGTCATTTCGACAACAGTGGTCACTGTTTCGGTCAGCGTACGTTTGCGGAAGATCGGTTTTATCTGGAGAACTATCAGCACTAGACGACACTGAAGCACTTGAATCTGAACCACCTTCATCACCCTCACCAAACAGAAGACCTGTGTACTCGAAATCTCGAAGTGAACTCCTCGGCACCCATACAACACGATCTACATCGGATGCGTCGTTGTCAGTAGAGGAGGCCTTACCCTCTTGACCTTGAGCACTCTCTGCATCACAGGTTTGAACCGGGCATCGAAGGACGGGATATGCACTTTCACATGTAGTGTCCGCACACGCAATATTTCGTGACCTCTTACAAGCAGGAGATTCCGGAGCATTATCGACATGATCGTGACCACTTCGAACATCTTGTGAACACATTGGCAGGTGCGGTGGAGGAAAATCCTCATTGAGCATTGTATTAGACGCCGCACAGTCCATGCTTTCCAAGGTTGTGCTGCAAGCCTGCAGTGGCATAGCATGCACACCACAAGCCATGCACGAGACGTGTCTGCGACAACAAAACAGCGGACCACTGTCAAAAGGCGAAAATCAGAGGCCAATGAAATGAAGCAGACAATCATCCCTACACAACAGCGAGAAACACAACCCTGCAAATGACCCTGAGAAACACAGCCCTACACTGGACGGAGAGGAACAGGAAACATCCGAGAGAGGATAACACACGACCGTGGAATCTGGGCAGCAATCCTGTCATCAGGCCCAATCCGTGCCAAAGGCGCAATACACGCGAAAGAGTCTGTCCAAGTCGGAGATCGATCGACAGTGGGAAGCGTAGTACATGTCGAGTCGGGGCACCAGCAATCGGAAACACAGCGTGCAACAACATTGAAAAGGCAGAGATCTTGACACGCAACAGGAAACGCAGCACATGTCACGTCGGGCACCAGCTTCGAAAAGGCATAGACCACGGCGCGCAAAACCCAGCGGGCACCAACAGCGGAACGACGAAGACTCTGGCGCGCAGCACACAGCTTGGCACGAGGGCATTGATAGGAAAGATTCTATATTACTCCAGGAACTACAGCGACCGGACACGTGTGGTAAGCGTGGTAATCACCACCCATGCAGAGCGGGCAGGAAAACTGCCATGAGTGAGCAGGAATACCATCGTGGCAACGCGACCGTACCATTGTGGCAAAGCGACCGCCTCGCCCAACATGAAAGGGTCCCCCGTCTTGATTCCCGACACGCGTGGTACTCACCACCCACGCAGAGCGGGCAGGAAAACTGCCACGAGTGAGGAGGAAAACCATCGTGGCAACACGACCGCCTCGCCCAACACAGAAGGGTCCCCCCTCTTGATTTCCGGGTACCAGACTCCGAGGATTCGAAGCAAAATTCGCACAGAGTTCGTTCTACGGCGCACGACGGGTTTCTAGATAGCCAGGCTGAGAAGGCAAACGATTGCGGCGACGCCAATGCCGCGCTCAACACGACAGGAGCTCCATTGTATATTACAAGGTGGGGGTCGTGGCACAATCTCGCAACAAGCAGTCAGTGCTACAAGAGACAAAAGGCAGTCACCCGGGCACTATGTTCTGTTGGTGCAACTCGCACCAAACTCTGTGCAAGTCGAAACATAGGTGGGGGTCGTGGCGAAAAAGAGCAGGGTGTTCAACACGACCGTGATGTCGTTCGGCACGACCAAGACCGCGTTTGACCGTGGCGGACACGACGACCAGCGTGCTCGACATGACGGCCACCGTGTCAGACCCGACGACCATCGTGCCGGATACGACAACCGTCGTCGACGATCGTGTCGGACACGAAGACGGCCGTGCTCGATACGATGGTGGTCGTGTTCGACACGATGGCGATCATGCTCGACACAACAACCAGCGTGTTCAACACGACAAGGATCGTGTTCGACATAACGACCATCATGTTCGACACGACGATGACCGTGTCGGACACGACGACGATTGTGTTTGACATGACGCCCAGCGTGTTCGACACGACAACGATCGTGTTTGACACGATGACTAGCGTGTCGGACACGACAACGATCGTGTTCAACACGACGACCATCTTGTACGACGATCGTGTTTGACACGACGACCATCGTGTTTGACACGACGACCA